CGACTTCACTCTTATTCCTCCACGCGCTGAATTTTGCCTCAACTGCTTCTTTCCTTCCTTGCTAGCTTTTCCCGGAACCTCATTCATCAAAGCAATGCCTTGTTTTGATTATTAAGAACGAAAATGTGTATTTCAGTCCAATTCATTAGAAATCAAAAGCAGTCAGACACATTTTTAAAGTTATTCAGTCAGTCAGTGAAGAGGAATATCTAGTGCTAGTAGCGTTAATAAGATGTACACAGGTAAGCGTGTGCTAGGCCTTTCAGCTTCGAGTTGCAAATCCCTAATTGGTACCCGCTGCCCGCATGCGTGCCACTTTTTCGCGGGCTATTAGAGTAATTACCACTCAGTGATACATCGTGCCGTTCTGCTGTCATGAAAACGAACACATATCCCAGCAGGAATGTTATGACATACTGCTTTTGTCAAATTTCATTTTCTCATGTGATCGCAACAATATTTTGCCAGCCGCTCATCTGGCTGGACATGTGACTGTTTGTATACCAATTTTGGTGAAAAAATGAGGGAACTAGCGCCGACAATACCAGAACTTCCGGCACTGATTCGGATGGGTTGCACACCGGCCTTAATTGCTTCTACAGCTCGCTGCAAATTTTGGTTGAAATCTTCGTCATTGAGTACTCCTTGCATCGATGTGGCCACGTATTCGCGCACTCTCTGCTGCCAAGCCGAATCGAGATGCAGAGATGTCGAGGGCATCGAGTATGACTGCGAACATTCTTGCTGCTGCTGTTGTTGTTGTTGTTGTTGGCGTTGTTGCTCATCAGCAGTCTGAAACTATAAAGATTGTTGTGGAACACAACCTACACAACTTCCCTTCGCTCCCTCTCGCTCGGCTTTCCTCAGCCTTAAGTCCTACTTCGTAACAGCAGTGAAGTCCAGCGAGTGGATTCTGTGAGAAGACACGATCCAGAATCGAATTGAATTAGACCAGCATAGAAGTTCATATCATGAATGGGGAGGTACGTACAGTACGAACCTCATCTTCTTGGGTGGCACCAGTTACTGAAGAATTCAGTTCGTCGAATGATTCGGCTTTCTTTTTCAGGCCCATGTCGATTTCCGGTCTGTGCTGCTGCTCTTGCGGTTCATGTTGCTGCACTGCAACTGCCATCGCGCCTCTACATTTCGCGGCCAACGCTTTTCACTGCAGTAGATATTTCTATCACTAGAAGCAGTTTCGTGAAAAATTGAATTTTTATATGCAAAGAACTGTTACTACCCCAGAAAACAGCAAAAGTGACACCGCATTCATTTATTAAGATCTCTTGGACCTTCAGCTTTTATTAAATACTAGTGACGACTGCTAGAAATATATAGACATCTGTGTCTACCCAAGTGAATAAATGGCCAACATACCGACTGCCGGTGCAAAAATGCGTTTTTTGCATAGTGGCAGATGCTTTTAGCCAGAAAATTAAGACTGAACGCCAGGATTGTCAGAAAACATCCCTTTAAAATTTCAGTTTTCTAGTTTTCCCTGTTCCCGAGTTAGAAAATTACTCGCAAAAAACTTTCACGGGCTCCTACATAGGAAACACGCATAAACGAGAGCTTGGTTTGAGCTCATGAATACCTACGTTGATGGGGAGCATCCCCTTAAAATTCCAATCTTCTAGCTTTTCAGATTCCCTAGTTAGCAACTTACCCGCAAAAAACTTTGGCGGGCCTGTACGTGGGCACCACGCGGGTAAGAGCACCCGTTTTGGTGATTGGGACCCGTACTTTCATGTAGATGATGTTCGCAAAGCTTCAGCCCTGTAGCTTTTATCTTGAGATGAAAAATCGGTGCAGACGCACACACAGAAGCACAGGCACACACCCACACACGGACGACCCCTCGTCAATATGCGTTTTCTGCATTGCATAGATGCAAAAAACGCATAATAAACAGCGAGAGTTTGCACCACATCTTTACTCATTGATGAAACGAAATCAACAGCATTGGCGTTTTCCGCTGACTTATAATTTTTGTCTCACTGTTGTAATATCACCAAATTCAGCAGTCATATAGGGATACGAAGCGTGGTTAATGACGAGACAAAAGGAGCGGGTGCTGGCTGTGGCAGAGAGAACAACAGAACCGAGGATTCTGGCCTTTATTCCCAACCATATTTGTAATCAAACGGATAGTCAAATGCACAGGAAATTCCGTATAATGTGTTACCCGCTGAGTCAGCAGCGTACTGTCCAAAGCTCGTATATTAAAAGGACTTCGTCGAATATCTTACAAAGTGAGTGGTGTGCATGACATCGTTACTGCAACAACAGAGCAGTCCACGTGTACAGGGAATGCCGCCGACGACAGCGGCGACAGTACCTATGAAAGAAAGAACGGCCGTTCCGGTGAATATTGTGGGAATAATGAGTTAAAACTGAAAGCGAATAACAGGAATGTATTAGTTTGCTTTGCGTACGCTTGCATCTCAGCAACATCAGTAGTCCATTGAGCAAGTACTGTCTTTGGATGTGAATACTTTTTCATATTCCGAAATTAATTATTGTTTAAGGAAAACGAAACGTCACTGCTGGGTTTCCGCTCCAGAATTCCTGCAGTTCTGCTTCAGAAAATCCTGAGTCAGTTGTTGCGTGATGTTGTTGCCAGCATTATGAACGCTAGTTGTTTCAGATGCTTTTCAAGCTTTAAATCTAGCGCGTTTTCAGGAGCAAATGACCCACATTTCTTGTACTGTAATCGGTAGAACAAACCAACAATAAAAAAGCTGAGGAATCCCAATTGCTGCGAACAAAGCGACGCGCAATGCAGATTTCGTCCGAAACAATGCAGCCGATTTACATGAATAACACTTTTATATCCACCCAGTATGCAAATCAGTAAACATCAGTCCACATCACAGCACCAGCGCGACTATGCTTTTCATGCGTTTTTGCATATGTTTAAATTGCAAAAACGCATATTGGGAAGAGGCTGTGTGTGTGTTTGTGTGTGTGTGTGTGTGTGTGTGTGTGTGT